TCTTCTTCTCCTCCTCCATCTTCTTCTTCTTCTTCTTCTTCATCGTCATCGTTTTCTTCTTTTCGGTTTCATTTGCGTCTCGATATTTGATTAACACTTAGACAGTGATAGTGAAGTCTTTAGGCGATTTCGAGAGCGAGTTAGAAGGAAAACCCGTCCTCTTCCTGTGGAGCTTCAGCTTCATGTCGATGTCGCACTCGGCCTCGCTGGTCTCGTGCGCGTCCGTGAAACCTGTCGGCGGCTTCAGTTCCAACGTAGACAGCTCGCTGCCCCAGTCCTCTTCCCGTCTTGCCAGCCTGAACGACCCGGGCTCCTCCAGCAGGCACAACGACTCCACGGATTTCCTCGGGCTCGGCTCTTTGACCAACCTGTCGCAGGAGCCAGGCCTCGCCGGTCGGCTCGGCGACGCTCCCCTTGAGTAACAGTGCATCCCGGATTCCGAGAGCTTCATCACGGGCCGCAAGATGCCCGGCACGCGACCATCTATCCCGATGTCGGGCGTTGCTCCATGATTCCTGCAAGTTCCCAATACCCTTCCGTCAGCGAGAGCATGTCAGAATATGTGTCAGAGAGAAAGAGAGAGAGGGAGTATAGGGCAACGATCTTAACCTCTTAGGCACGGCTGAATTTAGGGGCCGTTTCTCTGTACGGCAGAGTTCTGTACGGACAATGCTGTTCTCTAGTACATTGGAATGAAGTTTTTAAATTATAATTTTTCTTAAAGATATGATACACATAATTTAACTCTAACAGTTTAGAATAATAATTAGAAATACAATTGGGTATAATATATGACGTATTGGTAGCGACGGAGCCATTATAGTGGCGCGTCGTGCCTAAGAGGTTAACTGTTTGGATGGTACATTTTTGTGGATATTTAGTTTCTGTTTTTCAATATGCAGAAGCAAACCGGACCGATAACAGCGTAAATATGATTAATCCGGTGATCTAATGTGATCACAAATATTGTTAATGCAAAAAAAATATTAAGAAATAACATTTATTCAAATAAATTTACTTTGATTTATTTCTTGAAGAATATGGTAAGAAAATTATAACTAATACCGATAAACAGAAGCGCCTCCGCGCTCTCCGCAATTTTTGCACAATACAGCTCAGCACTCAAACGGTTAATTGTCATTGTTTCAGCCTTTCTCGGGAGGTGAGACTCTTTTTATCGGTTCATCTTTTACTTAGGAAATGAAACTTTCATATTATTGCTTCAACTTCTTCGCGAAAGATGCAATTTTCTGTTTACCGGTTTTTCTCTTGGAAAAATGAAACTTGTATCGTTTCATCTTACTCTGTAAAATGAGACTTTTGATTCAAGAGAAATGGTGGGATTCACGTGGTTCGTTTCGGTTTTTTTGGATCTTCGTGGAGCTTCGTTCGTAATTTAATTTCTGGGGATGGCACGGTGAAATATTGGAAATCTGCGATGGGAGGTAGGATTACTAGATTTGAGGTTTCTTTCTCTTTCGTCTAGTTAACTTTTCATCTTCGCAGTTCGGTCTAGTTTCGAAAAGCGCATGTTATTGAACAATGATAGTTTCTTAATGGTTTGTTAAGCTCGTAGGAATAAGTGTAGAATAGAAATGTAAAATTGAGAGTGACGGTTGAAATCAATCGGTTTGACGGATTCCAGCGATCGATAACTAATTCGGCTAAGCTTTTTCATTCCAAGTTCACGGGGACCGTTCCGCGGCTTCTGAAGTTCAAAGCTTCCGCGAAAGGACGGAGCGCGCTATGTCCAGAGTTTAATATAAATGCAAATGTCGAATATATCGTGTATAACCAGAAAATGAAAAAAATGAATCGGGAAAGATGTGTACGCGGAAGATAGAGGGATAGTGTGGTGGGTGATAAAGGCTAGGGATCTAGCACAACGGACCAAGGAGTCGTAAAATATTATTCATAATTAAGATAAGGAAATTATTCGCTCAGGATCGTTCTGCATTTATCCTGAACATTTTTTACCGCTGGATTTTTATGGGGATTTAAACTTTTACTAACTAATTTAACAAGAATATTCCTCGCATTTTTTCTTACGGCTTCCATTTTAATAGACCACTGAACAACTTTTCTACCAAGTGGCAGACGTTCCAACGTTACGTCAGGCAACGAGAAATATTAACAGTAGAACTACCAAATTAAATAAATTCTTTTACAATTATTGAAAAGATACTAGATCGTTCTATACGAAAGTTTCTAAAGAAATTGTTGTAGTAATACGTGAACCAAATTATGAGTGATCGAAGTCTCAAATTTTTGAAAAGTTAATTTCTCAATAGTTCTAGTACGAAATCACATTATTTTTATCCTCGCTCTAATCGCTTATATTTTACTAAACAAAAGTTTACAATATCTTCTATGAATTGTCGAAATTATCCGACATAGGAATCGCCGATTTCGAAGTGTCATTTCCACTAATTCCCAAGGAATCAATAAATATCGATTACACGGGATTGAACTGTCTCACCTTTGCTTCTCGAGCCTCGGGAAAGTCTTCCTCTCAGAAATTGGTGACGGTTCGGTTGATGTACTCGATTCGTTCGTGTGGTACATCACATCTGGAAGGTGCACGCGAGACGTTGATGCGAGAAAGGTGAGTCGTTAGTGGCGACCGGATGCTGTTTAAGGCTGTTGGCGGCGTCGACATAGAAAATCGAATACTAACTTACTATGATGAACCTGCTTCGGGACCAGGGCTAGTAGCTGCTTCCTCTGCCCGATCGAGTTCTTCGAGGCTGGCCGGGAATCGTCCTGGTGGTTCGAGGACTCGGTGCGGCTGCTGTTGCCGACGTCCGTCTCGGTGTCGGAGCCAAGGGTGTCGTACTCCTCCGATTCCGACTTGAAGGACTTCAGCTTGCGACGCGCTCTGCCGCGCACCTTCGTGTACTGGTCCATATCGCACTGAAATGTTTCTCCAATTAGAACACACGTCCTCGGCGCAATCGCGTTAAACACTGGAGACGACAATCGCTCAATGGAACCAAAGACAATCTGGGAAACGACATTAGTCTATCAAAGTTTGAATACTGTTGCAGCGAACCTGGCACTCTCGTCTGAGTGGCAGATTCGAAAACGCAGCCTGATTGGCTGAGACGCTCAAGCTCACCAATCGAGTTGCGCGACAGACGACGCAGTCGTTTCCGGACTCGCGATTGGATCTCTCGGAGCGACTGTCTCCGCCCTATGACGTCACGAGTGCCAAGTTTCCAGCAACGGTACAAGACTGAGAAAGAAATAAGTCAAAATAATATACATCAATTCAATTGAATTCGAATGTATGTATTCAACATTTTTGTTTCCATTGAGATTCACGCTTCCTCGGATTAATGCGAGAGAAGGAATTCGATTGTCGTGGAACCTTGATAGACCAGTTTACTATAAACGAAAGCTGAACGAAGGTGAATGTTCAGAGGATCCTGATACCTGATTGCCTTGCAGCATCGTTTCGCTGCGTTCGTAGTAGAACGCCGGTCGTATCGGATTCGCCGAGAGATTTTCCTGCTCGGACAGATTGAAGGTGGCGTACGGATAAATGTCTTCGGAATATTCGGGAATTCTTTCCAGCGCGCTCACCTCGCGACAGGGCGATTGCTGGCCGGGCTTCCTCACGGTCGCATAGTACTGTTCCCTTTGTTCCATGTTGTGTTTGTTCTCTAGAGCGGCCTGCGTTTGCGAGTTCGGATCGTTCGCTCGGCCGGCTCGTTCTGCGTCTGAAATTAGGCGGAAACGATCTTTGATTTAATTACAAGCTGATTTCGAAGTAGAAATATTCTTCTAGAACGGAAGATGTTTTCATGGGTGAATCTAACTCGATATTTCGAATTATTTCTTAACACTAGAATTACTGAGCGATAGGTTATTGTCAGTTTCTTCGGGCAATAATTATAGTACTCGACTGAAACTATTTTCAAAATTTCGAATAGTCAATGCCTTTAACACTAAACCTACCGAGCAGTTAAATTGACCTTTTGAAATTCCTCTATAGCAACTTCATGGATCTATCGAGACTTTAATCGATTTACAATTCAGTTTTATTGTTAAATCAGTTTCTTGAATAATTTCTCAGAGAAACGTCTATTATCTTTTTAATAATTGCAAAAAGAAGAAATCAGGAATGGGTCATTTTGACCCATCTGATAGATTTAGTGTTAAGGTATCGATAATTGCGAAATATAGAAACTGAAACTAGTCATTTTGACTGGTACAGTAGTTCTAGTGTCAATTTTAGTTGAATATTGATAAAAGTTGAGTTATGAGAAACAAGAATATTCTTATTTTGATAACTGTTGAAGCAGTTAGAGATGTAGCTCGTATTTTTATTTAGAATTTTTATATCCTGTGATCGATTACGATAAAGAAACGTTGTTTTCGAGATTCATCGAAGAATTAAAGTTTTCTGTACTATGCGCCGTGGCATTTTAATGTTTATCTGTTGCACGAGGTATAGTGGAACGCCGTCGCTACTCCCGATGCGCACATTAACGTCTCCCGACGCGGTTGAACCGATCTCGGAAAGTGCAGCATACGTTCCGAACCGCTTTCCAGACGTTCAAGCCTTGACGTGACTCTAGATTGCGTTATTGGGAGAATTTCAACGCGTGTCTCGCCTTTGACAATGTGTTACGAGAATTTCGTCGCACAAAGGTACGTCGGCTGTAGTTCCGTCTAGCCGAAACGGGAATTTCGCGCAGACAATTTCTGTCGAAAAGCTACAACCTCGTTAAAGCACGCGCGAGATTAATCGAACCGTGCGTGCGTCTCGTTCGAAGAATCTTTCTACTCCCGCGATGTATAGAAAACCAGCTTCGTGAATTTAACCCCGGAGCTTCGTGAAATTCGAAGGAAATCTCAATGAATTCGAAGGAACTCGTAATTTCTATCGAACCATCTCGAAGTACGATAGATTAATTTATTCGCTTATTAATTAATTCGCTACTAAGCTCATGTAACATTTTACTATCGGCAATTTAGAAGAAAAGTAGCGAAATTTTCCATTCTACTTCAAGCTGAAGTTTCCAAGAATCACCCCCTAAACTTAGCACATCCATCGTCAGATTCTATCTGTCTCAACACTATAAAATTACAGCACAATGCCAATAGACCCAATGTCTCGAAATTCTCTTCTCCATTTATTTATTTCACGAATAATCCTCAAACAACCCATTAAAATCCCACACGAACCGAACTCGGAACAAGTCAAGCCAAAACCAAGGTCACCTCGAGCCGCAAAATATTCACCCGGACAAATCTCAACAAACAGTTCAAGCGGCGAACGCTCCCACAGCACGAATCCCGGCGACTGCATAAGGAAGTCAACTAACGAAGCGTAGAAACTGAAAGGCACGGACGAGCGTAAATGTTTGTTGCTCGTGTCATTCCTCGCTTGCGCTCGGATTCCGGGCGTGCTTTCGCGCCGGTTAGCGCGGACGGCGCGCGGTATAATTGCGCGGAGTCCCGCTGCCTCGTCGGCGGAGCTTTTAATTAATCGAATTTCAGCGGGGCTGATATATCGGAGGCCGGTAAGAGCTCGCCGGAATAAAAACGCACGCGCCTCGCGCGAGTGCTTGCCGAGCTTAGGGGCGCGCGAGCGGCGTCGAGAGGGAGGCGGCGGAAAGAAGGTGTCGAGCACGGAGACGGCGAGAGATCGAAGACCGGATATCAAGTTTCGTCCCCGGAGCGATGTTTCGTGGCACGACGGGCCAACCGAGGCTTCCCCGAGCCGGCCCCCGTAATTGGAATACAATCCTGCGACGTTTAGCTACTCAATAACGGCGAGTAGCGGCGCCGTCACGCCCTTCTGGCTTAATGCAAATTGCCGGTACCGGTGAAATCCTATCTACACCGTAGGAACGACGCCGATGCGGCCGAGCCTCGATCCACGCTCGGTCTTATCCCCGTAAATTTCGATCGATCGTTTACCCCGTGTCCCTTGCCCGCCGATCGATCCTTCCGACTTGCTAACTTTGATCGGGGTTCCGTGCCCGGGATGTTTACCGGATTCACTTAACGCTGGAACTACCAGTCGTTTGCTTCGCAGTTATTGACACGTTGAACGCCGCGCGATTTCATAGGGCGAAATACACGGAATGGAAAAAGTACAGTATTACGTTCGACTGAATTGGATTATTATCGTTGCACGTTCATCAAACTGAATGTCACCGCAATGGGGAGTATTATTTGTAATATAGAAATGTGGCGAATAATCATCGTTTTATTGAGTGAATTGTAGTAATTCGATTTGGCATTCAACATGTTAATACCTTGAAAGCGTTGAATATTTGAAGTGATTTTGGAGATAAATAGTTTCACTTGAGTATGATGAATATCCAAAGAAACTGGAAATAATCTATTGTTACAATTTTTATGGAGATTACATGTCAATTGTATTAAATGCTTGGTAGTTCTAGTGTCAACTGATCGAGGATTGCACTGGTTAGTCTCGGCGAACGCAGTTCGCAGGAAATTTTGTTGACTGGGATTTTTGGGAATAGAATAGAATAGAATTGATTGAATTTAATTATCATTTGGGAAGTTCGATGCGTTACGAGCGATGGAGCTTGAAGCGACGTTTTAGATACACGTTGAGTCATCATAGCGAAGTTCAATTGAATAGATTGATATTACGTCTTTTATTTCCATTTTATGTTGTTCTGTGAATGGAGGTATGCGCGATTGGAATTGGAATGGAATTTTTTGATGTCGACTAGAGTGTACTACTATAATACTGGAATATTACGAACTGTTTTGATGGTTTGCATTCATTCAACCATCTGGAAACTCGAAGGAATAGAAATAGAAGTAGAAAAGTCAGACTATAGTCAGACGAAACTGGATGCTATGCAGTAATCAGAATTGTTTCGAAAACGAAGTGTCACGTGAACTTTTATACAATGTATTCTATTTATTGCTTCACGTAGAACCATCTTCTTTGTATATTGATCATGGTGTTATAATGATATTACTATTATGGTATTATAATGGTATTACTTACGTGTTTTGAGACAAAAGCAGATGCCAGCCACTGCCAGGAATACAGCCAGAAGCGAGATCACGCTCGGCGCTAGCACGTGCGCGTCGAAAAACAGGGACGACTCTTCGGTTTCCGGCGGCGGATCGTTATGCATTCGATTACCGGTGTTCGGGGACAGCGTGGTGAACAGGTACTCGGCCTGCGTGGACCCGGCGTTGTTGTAAGCCGTCACGCGGAGCTCGTAGTTGGTGCCGCTTTCCAGGTCGACGATCGGAAATCTTGACTGCGGCGGGACGTTGTTCGACACTGGAACCGAATTACGTATCCCATGTGATTCGTTCGAATCAATACTCTCGCGGAATGCTTCATTTATTATGCGAACAAGCATTTTCCATACATTCCGGTACAAAAACGAGTATCTGGCCTTGAAGAGTTAAAAATGCGATGAAAATCTTAATGTATCTTTTAACAAGAATATTAAACTAGGCTTAATCGTCTTATAATATATTAAATATTAAAATATTCAAATATTGGAGTATCGAAGTATCGAACATAGGGGAATCCAGCAATGCAAACAAAATTCCAGCAGGAGCAATAAGAATCTATAGCCGCGCAATTCATTCTATCATCGATTGCACGTGATTGCACTATACATTCACACCCATATTAGTAGACTTAATCAAACAAATCACGTAATTCCCTTAAGTTTGAAAAATCGACTTCCATCCACAGTAACATCGACGTGGACCTTACTTAAAGGTTAAACCTTACCTAGCAACCAGTCTCCAGGAAGCCTCCTGTACTCGACGACGAAGTACAACAACGGACAGCCGCCGTCCTGCCAGGAGGTCAGCTCCAAAGTGACGAAAGTCTGGTTGACCCTGACGAGCTGATGCTTCGGCGGCGAGACCGGTTTGGTCCCGTTCGTCTTGGCGATCTCGATCTTGCTGGCGCTCCCGCTGCCGATCCGGTTGAAGGCGGCCAAAGTGAACTGGTACCTGGTGCCGCACTGCAGCCCCTCCAGCAGATGAGTGCTCGCTTTGCGGTCCAGCATCACCTCCTCCCACTCGGAGAACTCGCGGCGATAAGCGAGCAGGAATCCCTTTATCGGGGCGCCCCCATTGTCGCCTTGCTTCCACTGCAGCTGGACGGCGTCGGTCGTCGTGCCCGTCGCCAGCAAAGTCGGCGGTGTCGGCGGCACTGCGGAAAGTTTGTCAATTAGAGCGGCGGGCTCGACTGTTTGAAAACGTCTGGTCGGCTGATTAATCGGCCGCCCCGCGATAAGTGGAGCAACGAGGCGGACCGGGCCGCGCGAGGATCGTCGCGAGGATGATGGCTGCTCGAGTGTTCCGCCAGCATTGTTTGGACATTGTGTACGGGAGTTCTGAATGTTGTGTCTTGATAGGGTTTGATTTCAGGGGTTAGTTTCGTAGGTTGATGGCGTGCTCGTTTTATTTTCTATTGCGGAGGAAGGTCTTCGTTGGCTGATTCTTAACATTGCGTTTTGTGAATGGTATTTCTTACTGGTTAGGGGTGGCTTTGATCGGAGATGGTACGAATGTGTGATTTATTTTGTTTCCTTGTAGGTTTTTTAATGTTTGATATGCTATCAATTTCAAGCTAAATTTGAGGATTCTGAGAGAAATCTGAATTGTTCATTTCGAAGAGATTAGAAAGTTCCTTTTCTACACCCAGTTTCGGAGATATTGTAAAGAGTATTTCAATCTTGAACTTTGACGGTGTTTTCATCCTTTCAAAATGGATGTTGGATAAGGAAAGATACGCGTCAAATATTCTCCTGAGAACTGTTTCAAATGAATTTCATTAACACTAAAACTACCGAGAATTTAATACGATTAATATGCAATTCCCATAAAAATTGTAAGAATAGATTATTTTCAGTTTCTTGAGACATTCATTATAGTGCTCAAATGAAGCTATTTATTTTTAAAATCATTTCGAATATTCAATGCTCCTGAACAAAAGAATCGAAACCAGTCGTTTTGACTGGTACGGTAGTTCTAGTATTAAAGTCGGCGTACGTTGGTTGACAGGATTCCCTTCTCAGGATTAATCTCTCTCAAATTATATTAAACAAACACCGACGAACGATCCCCGTTATTGCACGATGGATCCTGCAGAAGCACGTCTCAGGTATCCCCGAAGGATCCCGCAGTAGAAGCCGAGCGTGCGCTCTTTTTCGTCTTCAAAGCGAGTAGAACGGGCTGCGAGCGTTCAGCCACTCGTTCCTGGAGCACCTGCGTCAAAGGCTCGCAACGCGAGCCAATGGCAAAAGCATTCCCAAGATGCGGAACTCCGGCATTAAATTGTCCGGCATTAACGCAATCCTTAAAATACATAATTCCCCGCTCGCTGCTCGAATTCCCGAATCTCGTTCGATTACCATGCCAAAGGAATTCCCGGACGAGATTCCGCGCGACGCGTGCTCCTCGAATTTTTCGCTTGTGACGCGAAACGTATCGGTAAATTATGATCTACCTAAGACTAGTCTGAAAAACGTTTGATCTGAGATAACATACTTCCCATTTTTCGATTCAATGTTTCTGCTGAACAAAGTGATTTTCATTTGAAAACTCAACATTTTATTTTAACGTTGAAATCGAAACGCGAAATATCCAATGTCATTGAAAAAGCTTCCCAATATCCATAGAATGTAACAAAAATCATATGTCTACTGTTATATCGATTCAATGCGTCGCCTGTGGACGAAACTTCAAAACTCGACTATTCACGTAAAAAACTGAAGTTACCAATGTGCTAAATAGTCTCTGCTAAACAAAGTGATTTTCATTTGAAAACTCAACATTTTACTTTAATGTTGGAATCGAAACGCAAAATATCTATTGTCACTGAAAATTAATCCTAATATCCATAGAATATAACAAAAATGATATGTCTAGCGTTGTATCTTACTACTTCTATTCGAAGCATTTGTTTGTATCACTCGTACATTTTAAGTTGTTGAGTTTTCTCGAGAAAACGGCCGTTTGACCGCGCTGCGCGCCGTTTCGAATAATTCGCGGGGAAAATAACGGGCGAGCATCGACACGGAAAATAGTTTAGCGCAACTTTTAACGAACCCGGCTTTTTCCTGTCGAGCCACGCCGGCCATTGTCGCCGATTATACCGGCGCGAAACTTTTCCCCTGCGAACGTGACCGGGTGCAGCTTTTGAAAAATCAGTGGGGTCGTAAACGTTGCGGTCATCGCAGAGGCGGTATACGTCTGCTGGGAGCGATGTTACGATCTGCGATCGGGCGAGAGGAGCTAAACGACGTGGCAACGTTGATTATTTGTTGCCTCGTCGATGGAGGAAATGGGGAGGAAAGGAAATGGAGGAAAGGGTGAAATAGTGTATGGGAAGTTCAGTGAAATTAGTAGAATTACGTCTCGAGCGTCTTTTTGGAGATTTTTAGGGTTTTGGTAATTGAGTCGTTGAGAAGTCAATAAAGTACAGAAAACAAAAATTGAGAAAATTAATGCTTTGAATTCTGAAATGATTGTGCAATATATTCAGAAGCTATAGAGCTTTTGACCTAGAAAAAAGGAGACGAGTAAATAACTGTAAATATTATTTATTCTATTGAAGTTTACAAAAATCAGAAAATATCAAAGCGTTGGTAGGACATTATTTATTCCATTGAAATATTCAATAATTATAAATCATCGAAAAATGGATTTAACTGCAACTTCCGAGCGACTCAATTGTAAGTAGAATAGGCCAACGATAGTCAGACGTACTAAGGAAATACTGTTTATTGAATGTATGGATTGGTATGAGATGAATGTGGTATCTTAGATGTATTTTGCGGTTGCCAGGAATTTAGATTACTTAGATTCATAGTTATAAAGGACTTCTTTCGCAAATGCAGTATAAAATATTCCTAACCAAAAGTGTGATTACTATAATGAGATTCTGTAGCTCTCCAGCCCTTAATCTTCCACGTAACGCCCCGAGGCTCCATTTTCCTAGGATTACCAACGGATTTTGAGTAATTACGAGAGTCTGTGTTCTACATCGCTGTCCCCGCTCAGAAGTCAGATAACACGAGTCGCTTTATCCATGCAAACCCTGCGCATTCAATTTCCTAAGCCGAACCTTCCGTCGAAATATAATGAAACCTTTTACAACCAAGCTTCCACAAAGCCACCCTGAACAACTGACTACTCAACAATTACATCCAAACTGACGAGCAATGTTTACGAACCCCCATATTCACCTCAAATCGAAAAATTCCAAAGTCTACAATCGCTGGTCCACATACCTTGAACCTGCAAAGTGTACACGATCTCGTCCGACCCCAGCGGATTCTTCACGTGGCAGACATAGTTCCCTTCGTGGGTTCTCTGCACGTTCCTCAGCGTCAGCGCGTTGTCCACTCCGACGTCGGATCTATCGATCAATCCACACATTAAATCCCCGAACCTCGTTCTCCCATAAATTCGATACACACTGTCGGTCTGCTCTTGGTTCTCTGCCAGTGTTCACACCAGTGTTCCGAAAAACTGGAGTTTTCGAAGCTGCACGACTCAACCATAAAAGCTAAGTCTTCGAAGCTTCAAATACTCGATCATCCCACAATAAATAAACAACAAATAAATAAAACCTACATATAAACTACAACACTCAGCCTTTAAACTTCATCCTTGAATCCTCTACGACTCCAGCAACTCTAATCCTTCAAACCTAATCTTCAAACCTCCAAATACTCAATCATCCCACAACACAACACTCTTAACAATACTCAATTGTCAATCACAAGGACTCAAGCATTGAAGACTTACTTCTGCAGCTCGAAGCTTAAACTCTAAGCTGCATCTCTTAAAGCTACCTCTACAGCTTTCAAGACTCAAGGCTCCAGACTCATCACAACACTGGTTCAAAACTATTTAATTTTATTTTTAACATTCAAGAGAACAACAACTACAACCTCCTCCATTATCTTCAGTATAACTCGTTCAATTAATTCGGTTAGGAACCGTGTTTCGTAAAAACAAGAAACATATTCGATGAATCGCGAATAGTCCCACATCAATACTTACTAAACAACAAAAGAAAAGAAAAACAGAATAAAAGGTAAACACGTTGCTAAGTAAAAAGTGGGAGATCCCCATTCGGCTGGCGAAGTGTTAATCTCAACTCAACCCCGCTGTCTTCGTTCATCAAAGACAACGGACAACGAAAGGAAACCAAAGAAGTACCCAGCAGACTGACAGCATGCAGCCGAGCTGACTGGTCTCGTCACTTACTTCTGCAGCTTGACGTCCCCGCGTCGCCACTCGACCGTCGGCCGCGGATTACCAACGGCCAGGCAGGCCATATTGACGTCCACCCTCCACGGCACCACGAGTGCCACTCCGAACGATATTATAGCTGCTGGAACTAATTAAACGGTCCCGGTTATCCTCGCTCTTCGTTAAACTTCCGCCCCGGAGCCGTGATCCGTGTTTGAGTTCAGTTCCGAAAGTTCACTTGCGCGTTTCCTCGCTTCGCAAAACTCTCTCTCCTTCTCCCTGTATTTCTCTCGCTCTCCATCTTTCTCTTCCTCGCGATCGCTATTTTTCCCTCTTTACCTTTCCCGCTCCAGCTCCGGCTGAGCTACGGCTGGGAATTTTTCCCGGATGCCTTGGGAACGAGGCCGAACGTCGCTTCGACGATCCAGCCCCGCGACTGTTTCAATAACCGGCGATACTTTCCGCGCGAGGGCGAAAACTTCCGCGGGGTCGCGATTAAAATGCATAATTCCGCGCCCCTCGCTGGGGGAGGAAAGGTAATCGGAAACTTGGCTCCGATTCCTGTTACCCGCCCGGCGACCGATCCGCGAACTTCGAACTTCGTCGCAACTTAAACGGGAATCGTAAAGGGCGCGTCGATTTAACTTCTCGCTGTATATAGAGTATCGGCTTCGCGAGAGTTCACGCGATCGTTAGTTTTTGCTCTTTCGTTGCCAGTCGGGACAACCAAGCGCGGAGTGTTTGATTAACGCAGAAACGGACTCGCGATGAATTTCGCGCGTAAACGATAACTCAACGATCCCTAGTAACGAAATCCCAATTACCAAGTCCTCGATCGAATTCAACCTCCCAGATACACAGAACCCCAGACAATAACACGAATCGTACATAAATCAACAGGCAATCCCATCAAAGCTAGCCCGAATCTCCCGAAAAAACGCGGAAAAAGAGCCGCGCGGATTCCCATGCAGAGCTGCAGCGGTCGAAACAAGGGGAAACCGAAACACGAGGAAGACAGAGACGGGGCGAGCAAAAATTGCTCGGCTCGCGATCACGGGGCGCTCCCCGGGGAGTCCTCCCGCGAATTTTTCATAAAACTTTCGCGTTCATCGGCTCGATTTTCGCGCGACCGACCCGATCCTGTGCGATCAATTCTACAGGGAGGAGGAGCGGACGGTCGCCGCGGGTGGCCGGAAAGTTTCGCGTTTCAGCCTACTGACCGGTGTTGCTCAGCTGGAGTTTGATGACCGGGGTGCTCGGTCCTTGCCCCACTTTCGTCGAGGCCGTAACCCAGGCTTCGTAGGACTCGCGCAGCTTCAGGCCGGTCGCCTCGTGGTGCAGGCTCTGCGCGGGCAGCATACTCTTGGTGATCTTCACCTCCTGGCCCTGGTCCAGCACGCGGATGTACACGGTGTACTGGGTGAGCACGCCGTTCGGCCGCCGAGGCGGCAGCCAGGATATCACCACCGCGTCCTCGTTACTGGTCACCGCTTTCACACGCTCCGGCGCGTCCGGAACTGCGATCAGAACGGGCAACGTCATCCCCAGGACACGGAGAGAGCGTCGGGGAACGAGCTCGCCCGGATGGAAGTCGTTTTCTTGCTCGCGCGACACGCCCCCGTTCCGCGGAGCTGTTTTATCGCGGAATGCGCTCCTGATATGAATTATGCTGCTCGGGATGCTCGATTGAACGCGGTATTCGGTCGCTGTTGTGCGTAGTTTGGGTGTTCTTTGTTTAGAGTCGATGGAACGGGGAGGATCTTTTTATTGGGGTTTATTGCAATTTTTTAATGCAGGCTTTCGGGTTGAAAGTGACGTTTGGAATTTGGTCTCGGTTTTAGAATTGAATGGAATTTAAAATTTGGTTACTGAATGAAATTTGGGGTTTGATTGAAGATGTATGGATTAGGGATTATTAATATTAGGAGATTGTAATGAGTTGTAGATTCTACTGAATTGCGAAGTGGAGTTGATTGTGATATATAAGCAAACGAGTGGATTGCAATATAATTGCAGATATTATGTTGGATTTTGTCGTGTAAGAGGCGTCTGGTGTATCATACGAACGAGAGAGCACTGTATCGATCGAGAGGTTCGCCGGAGAGGACCGATTCGAGCCTCCATCGGGAGGAACGTCTCACCGGAAGTTCGTTGTCGCATTGTTCGCGAAATTTCGGAAAATCGAGCGAGTTCACGGTGCGGGGGTAGACTCTAGGATCTTACGTAGAATCGATGGTTCCCCGTGGAAGGATAACGAGGGCCGCCGAGCGCGAATGGAACTCGCCGACTGCCATAAACACGGATTAACGAATAAATGAACGGTGAATTAATTTCATTAAACCGCCGAGTCGATTACGTAGCCCCTCCGTGTTCAATTTTCTATGAAAAGAAATGAAGGATGGCGGGCGAGGAACTTTCCCAGGGCCGTCCCGCAAATAAACTTCTCGGAACCTTTCATTTCGATGATTCGATCTCGGCGGAGCACATCTCGGAAGTGGGACATTTATCAAAAGTAAAAGCGTCTCTTGGCGAGAAACTCGCGGAGAAGAACACTCCGAGACAAACTTTTACACCGTACAATGGCGAATTTCCTCGAAACCGTGGCGGAAATTTAAAAACAAAAGTTCCTTCGTCCATGGTAGAAGTAATAAGAGATTTCCGAACAATTGCCCATTGTTCGCTTTCAGCAAGGACCAATTAATTCCTGCCGATGCCCCGTGAACACCTCCGTAAAGCCACATAAATCCAATTTATCGGGCCTCCGTGTATTAATGTATACAATTGACCTCTTGCTTTACAATTTCAGTCGCGATCAATTGTTACTTTATTATTATTACACCGTTATTAGCGATTTCTCGCTGAGATAAAAGCTCGTTCACTTATCGACGTAACTCGTTCAATACAACGAAACCTCGAATGTAAATACAAATTACATCTCATTCATTAACACTGAACACAGCACTTCAACGTTCATATTTCAATAACCGATTATCAATTAACCGAAACAATTCACAAAGATCATATATTCTACCTGTTTTTCACGAGAAAACTCTCATCTCTTTTATCCCGAAGTACCCTCATTCGCGTCGAACCTCGAATATTACTTACCCCAATTAATCTCCGCAAAATGATCCCCGAACTCCCCGACGACCGACAAAGAATCACCGCGCAGCACGATCGGCTGCACAAGACGCAAATGACCCGTCACCGAGCGAATTCACACGCCGCTCGGCACAAAGCGAAACGACGGGCGGGCCAGAGGGTAGCCGGACGTTTCTACCGTTGACAAACAGCAGCGTGCCGTCCGTCCGCGTTTTCTTTGTGATACACGGAATTTCGATCACGCCGCCTCCGCCGCGGTCGCGGCATTATTATGAATTTCGAGATAACCATGCAATTATTCGCGACCCATTTCACGGAGTTTCTGGGGAGGCCTGCGAGCCGCGTTTAATGGAAAACGGTCCGCGTGTCCCGGAGAACGGGAGCGCTGGCATAATGTTACTTCAAAGGCGCCAAAGTTTCCGTCATTGACTCTTTCAGCTCCGTCTCCCCCGGCGATTTTCTCCGAACTCGTCGGAATTCGCGCGGAAAGTGGCCACCATGGAATTTCACATGACTCAACTTGACCAACTTTATTGCACTCTCATTTGCTGCGTACTATTGCTGCAAAGCGTTTGAGAAAATTGTACGATTATCCTCTTGTTCCTTTATATTCCGATTTTTGAATATAGATTTTTATTTAATTTCCTTGGATCTTCTATAGCTGGAATACTTTGATTGCTTTGATCGTTTAATTTTAATGATTCATCGGTAGGAATACGAGTCGCTCAGAAGCCAACGCGGTTAACTCGATTGTTGGATACTTTCTGGTCTCCGTGAATTTTAATGGAATATATAATGTTCCTTTAAGTTATTCCAGGATTCACTCAATTTTTATAGGTCAGGAAGCCCTTGTTTTTACAGCTCCTGAATATATATAATCGTTAGAAATTAAAATATGAATCCTCTCAATTTTTAATTCTGCACTTAACGTCATTGGCTTCCGATTCGCAGCATTGGTGAAAATAGGGAACCGTTCCACAATCTCAGAATCAAGAGAGAGTTTTGTAATAACAACAAAGCGTGTCTTACGCTCTGAGTAGTTGCTCGCCGACGATCGATGCAGTGCTTAACGTGTTAACAGGAGAACACTGGCTCGTTTAAATGGCGAATAACGAACGCGAATCATCGGCCGACGTGACGCGTTTCCCTGTTTAATTATTTCCCCTGGTTCTCCGTCTAACTGCGGGTTCGAGGACGTGGTTTATTGGCCGTGTTCAGCGCCGGGGAGAAGAGACTTTCGCGATTCCCAGTGTGTCTGGTGTACAACTATACCGAGAGTACAATGCTGCTTTCAAACACATCTCTTGTATACTTATAATACCAGCGTATGAGGGTCCGCCTTGTACCGTGTCTCTTGCTCCGAGCAAGGAGTGGTTATTCAGACTGCGCACAATGGAGCCGTGCTTGCCTGATAATAGAGGACTGTAATTTCTCAAAGGAACGACCAACTTTCTTTAATTATTCCGCCCGTAAACACTGCTCAGCTCGCGAGCAATCTTCGAATCTAACACTAGAACTGCCGAGCAAACTGATTTTTTAGAGTTTCTCCGTGGAAACTCGAAGTGCTGTTAAGATTTCGGTTGATTTGCTATTTACTTTGCGCATGGCTACATCAACTTTCTTAGTAATTCCTTAGAGAACCATTCAATAATCGCGACGGGAATTAGGAACGATTTCTGGCATGTGTACCAGTAAACTGAAGTAAACAATGAAAACGATCACTAAAACCCCAATATCTTTACATTTTCAACTCGAACGACTCAAAATACTTCCCTCAAACCACCCCATACAAACCAATCTTCCCAAGCTACCAAACCCATAATTCATCGTCCAACCCGAGACAAAGTCTGTCCAATATCTTTACATTTCCAACTCGAACAACTCAACTTCCCTCAAACCACCCCATACAAACCAATCTTTCCAAGCTACCGAACCCATAATTCATCGCCCAACCCGAAACAAAGCCCGAATACTAAAAACCAGAGCCCAAAATATCCGTTATCAGACAAAATTCAGTGGCATTCAGCGCAGAGTCGCGAAGAATCTAGGCCGAAAGTCCCGATACCGTGCCTGCGGCCAGAAGGCATAATGCAGAGGAGCAGAGGAACAATCGCCGGAACGTATTGGCCAATCGAAACATCAACAGCACGGGTCCGCTGTAAAGCAGTGGGCAAACTGCCCGTAGGAGCTGGCCCGCGTCTGAAACGACTTCGCCGGCTCGAAATTTACTCGCAGCCTGGCGGGCGTCCCCGACAGATGCGCCGCGGCTCGTAGTTTACCAGTTTCTTCGGTGGTGCAGGACACCGGGCTGCTGGTGACACCCTCGCCGGCCCTGGTGTAGGCGAGCACCTGCACCGTGTAATTGGTGTACGGGCTGAGCCCGTGCAGGACCGTGCTCAACGCATGGCTGATCTTCGTCTCTCTGCCGGCCTGCTGCTCCAGGACAGCGCTGCCGGCCTCGTACAGCAACTTGTAGCCCTGCACGACCCCGTGAACTTTGTCGGAAGGCGGCGGTTTCCAGGTCACCTGGATGTTCTGGCCGGTCAGCGCGGCGCAAGCCACGTTCTGCGGCGGGGCGCTTGGAACTGCGTCAAAACGTATCGTAAATTCGCTTGGAAAACGGACGGGCAGCTCGCACGCGAGCGCGCATGCGAGAGGACTCTCGCGGTTTTCCGGGCCGGGAGAGGATTGACCGGCGAGGGAAACCCCTTCTCGTCGGGACGCCACAGAGGAGCTGGCCTCTCGAGGGTGCTTCTTGGAGTGGAGCTGATGTTTTCACGGAGGGTGAATGTTAATCGTGCTTCTTACAGGATTCTTGTGTGATCTTTGCGACGGAGGGAGGTTTTTTGGGACTTAGCTAGGCGTGCGGGGGATGGACTGGAGTTTGAAGTGTTATCGGAGTAACAGGAGGGAGAAGTTATATTAACCCTTTGCACTCCAGAGGTGCCTCTCAATCGATTGGTGCAAAATTGTAAAATTCCGTATTTGACATTAAGTCTTGAGTAATCTGTCGATATGGGAAATAAAATATCATTGTTCCCCTTATTTTGTGAATTCCTTTAAGTTAGAAATAAATGTCACCTATATCTCATAGAAATAAATTGAATATTTCTAGTGACAAATTTTTTGAGTGCAAAGGGTTAACTTATTATTAATAATATAGTGTTACTACAGTATAAATACTGAAAAGGTGGATCTTGAGTATAGAAATAAATCTATTATACTAATACTTACACTACCATCCAACTACCAAGCAAGTAACAAACTATAATATATTACATATACTAAAATAATACGGTACAAATACATCTACCTCAGAACTTACACCGAAACCAACTAAGTAACAATATTTAACATTAGAACTACCGAGCATTTAATACGATTAACATGCAATTCCTATAAAAATTGTAACAGATTATTTTCAGTTTCTTCAGACATTCATCTCATCGACGTAGACACATTGTCAACGTTAACAAAACACAAAACACTCGAATGATACAACTTTTAACTATAATAGTCAACTATTAACAATTTGATTAACAACTTAATCAAATTATTCAATTGAAATTTCAGTGAATCAAGTGTCCGATTCCACGATATCAAATAGTATTAAGAAATTTCATTATTCGATTCATAGTACTCAAATGAAACAATTAATTTTCAAAATCGTTTCGAATATTTTCGATAATCATCCAAGCACTGCAATCGCGACTAACCCAAATCCATTTCGAAGCTACTGATCAAAGCGCTTACAATCGCGAAAGCCGCGCAAAGACAAAGACTCGAAAGATTGCTGAAAGGCCCTCTAAATCAGAGATTGCTCGATGAATCGCTCTCGATCGCGGTGCAGTGACATCCACTACAAGGTTCAACGTCGAAACACATTATTCTTCCCGAACGCTGGTTCGTCTAGAGGGAACGAGGTAAACACCGCGGAAGGAACAATCGAGAACGCGCTGGAGGTCCGCTGGGTAGAGAGATCCGTCGAGATTCTTTCAGCCCCGTCCCCCGAGGAGCGTTCACTCGGTCGAGCGTCGAGCCGGCCGCGATATGGAGCAACTCGTCGCGATCGACGTTACCGCGACAAAGGGGATCTACTTTCTCCTGGCGGGGCATAGCGCGTCGCGAAAAAGCCTCTCGCGAAGAAGCTCGTTCGACGGATCGCGGCCCAGCCGCCCCTCGAACCGCGGAACGGAACGGAACGGTGCGGAACGGAGCGGAACGGAAAGTGGAACGCGGTCGTGAGGCATCCCCTCGTCGAGCGGCGCCCGGCAAATGCACTCTGCTTCCTCGAGAACTGGGTGACGGGCCAGTGTTCCGCCGGTGGAAATATTTTTAAGCCATTTTGCCCTCGCGAGCATATTCTTTTCTGGGAATTTCGGGGAAATCGTCTTCCCTTATCGAAAACACCCGCGGAGAATAATATATTCTTGTTTGAACGTTCCAAGCGAATGCTGTTTCCCTGTTGAAAGCATCTTTTGGGAATAATACGCGGAAGTTTTTCGGAAATACCGATTGCTGGCGAAGCGTTGTTCTGGAAAGTTAACCAGTTAACTGTGTTTGACGAGTATACGCGTCGTCGTAAAGCTTGACACGATATTAATTCTTCGCTTTGATCTTTCATTAAAATATACTCTGCGTGCATTCGTCCTGCGTTCGACGAGTACACGCTCCATTCTTTTACTTTATTTCTAACTAAATTCCACAATTAACTGGTTAAGAGTAACGTCTTCCTTTTTGTAGAGATTTCTTGATTTAGTGGGAGTTGAGTGTTTTTAATGTTGCGATCGTAATATTTCGTGTACCTTTTAACACTAGAACTACAGTACAAGTCAAAATGACTGGTTTTGACCCTTTTGTTCAGCAAGTATTGATATGTTCGAAGCATTGAATATTCGAAATGATTTTTAAAATAAATAGCTTCATTTGAGTACTATAATGAATGTCTGAAGAAACCGAACATAATCAATTGTTACAATTTTTATAGTAGATTTATGGAGGTTTATTCTATGCTTTGTTCTGTTGTTCCCAGAAAGCTGCTAGAAAATTGAAAATCAACTTGAACAATACGTATTGATCAGTCAAAATGACTGGTTCTGTGAATCTGGTGCAAAACCGATCCGTTTCCAGCGTATCGAAAGAGAATGAATTTTCAGTAAAAATTCCATGAAACGTGCCGCGTATTTCGCAACCCTAAATTCCTCGGTGTTCAAGCGTTAATGACTATACGTGTCTGTTCGAGGGTAACGGGAACACGGCCGAATTAAAGGAAGTAAACCACTAGTAAAACGGGTCGAAATGGGTTAAGCCCGGGGATCATCTTTGCCCGGCGCAATTCTTCCTCCGTCGAGTGTCTGCAGTTTATGCAAGCGAACTTCTTAGAAGCTCGCCGCGTCTTTCAGCGTGTCTCCCGGCGACGAAGACGAGTTATCGGGCTGATCTCCTCTTTTCGGAGACAGAACGATATTGGATTGGAGAGTTTTATTCGACGAAAACGCAGTAACGAGATTCCCTATGAAACAATGGGACTGGATTGTCCCTGGGAGTTATTTAAATGCGGTTTATGGATGATACGGGGAGGTCATTTGTCTCGAGGAGATTCCCCGTTCAATTGAAAATGTATCGTTTGCCTTAACGATCAAGTTCGGAAATACGCGGATCCGTTCTGTCATTCGAGAAACTTTCTTCGAGATAGAGATTAAACATCGAATGGTTCTAGAGACGTAAAGTTCGCGAAGGGAACGACGTACGCGCTGGGAATTCATGTTTCCATTGTTCCTTTAATGATCGTTCGAAATACGTAAATACGTTTCATCGTTTTGCTTAAGAAAATTTAATTGGGTTACTTTAAAACACGTCGAAAGTTAAGCATCGTTCGGATGCTCCGAATACGCTGTAGACGCGAGATACATTTTCCATGGTGGTGCGCGATGGAACAGCGAACGAGGGGGCTAAATAGATCGACAATTTATTTTCCAGCTGCTGCTCGTTCCCTCCGCGAGATAATGCAACAACTCCGCACCCCTGAAATGTGCATGTCATACGGCGGGACACGAATGAATGAGCCCGCGGAAACTTTCTGGCATCGAGGGAGACACTGTGTATAATGGGAGTAGTTTTTGTACACGGGGTCGCGTGCGGTAGGTTTAATTGTTTCAAATGGGAGCCACGCGTGTCAACGGAGCGTTAATGTTTGTTCCGGGGACCAGGCGAGTTGGAATGGCAGATCATTTCGAATGGCGGAGATTGTAAATCTGCTGCTCCGCCTCGGGGAACGTGTTGCAATCTTTGTTTCGTTTTCTTTGTCCCCGCGCGGCTGAAGGACTTCTATGTACAATAGTATAATTCTTGTAATCCGTCTCTTGAGCTTCTGCATGCGAGTTTCGCTGCTAATTTTCTATTACGGGAGAGATAGAAATTGTAAGGGATGGATTATATGCGGTTTAAGTTATCTGAAATATAAATTCATGTGAAAGCAGCGCTTTTTTTAGAGCAATAATAAATGTACTTAAGAACTTAACGCAAAAATCTAGAGCAGAAATTAAGTTAAAGCTACTATTCATTTTAAACTAGCCCACTACTAAACAACCCTTAACAGACAGGAAATCTCACTTACCAAAAAGTACCGTGACATAGATAACAAGCTAAAATTCTAGATACTACAATAACACAACGATAGATATATAATAACCATAATTCAAAGTCTACAGCAAAACAGTCAACAAAGTCCAAAAACAATGAACCCCTCAACCAACACCCCATACCTCGCATTACCAAACTAAATTCCACAAATATCGAAGACCCCAATCCAACGATCAATTCCCCATGATCCCCATGGCAAACTAGTTCTCCAATTCGCTTAACAATCTAAATAAACCTAAACCAGTCGCCTGCCCACCGCGAACTCAAATTCTCGCAATAAACGATTACAAGCATAATCGTAGCACACGTCTCCGTCAATTCTTACATTCACTCTTCTCAACACTAGGCTTACGGAACCCGTCAATTTGACGGACATTGAATTTTGTAAACATTATATAGTAACAGTTCAAGTTGATTTTGATTCATGCAATTATGCAAACACTGGAATACTCTGGTTTTGCTACAATTTTCGCGATTTATATAAACAAGCACGTAGTTTTCTAGGAACAATAGGATAAAGTGTAGAACAAACGTCCATAAATCTAGTGTTAAAAGTACCTTAACCTACGGTGAAAATTCTAGATGCTACACTACCGAACAAGAGCACAAGCAAGAGATAATTCCACATCGGTAACTCACCGTCTTCGAAGGTCTGCACGGTAACCGGGTCGGATCCAGGCCCGTCGCCTTTATTATTGAACGCCTTCACCACCACGCTGTACTGGGTGTACTTTCGGAGGCCGGTTAGCCTGTAATCGTACGAGCCGTCCCCGTTTCCCGTGATTCCCACTCTCGTGATGTTCACCGATTGATCATTCCCCCTGAAATAAAGCCACGACCGATGCTCCACGAGGCGGAAAGATAAAGCTCGGGAAGGAACGCGCGGAACTTGACGATACTTAAAGCCATCCCGGGCAAACTGGAGCGAAAAATGGTCTTCTGATTCCCGGAAACTTTTCCCTCCCCCCC